TTGGGAAAAAGCAAATTCATGCTATTATCCAGAGGTTTGAGAAACTGGGGGTAACATTACAGTGTCTGAATGGCTCAAGAAATTGGGTTCAAGCACACTAAGCCCTTAACTCATATGATTGTGTCCTTTTTTCAGTAGAGTGTGCTTTTGCTTTAATTCCAAATTAACTAAGCTTGTCATGCTCCTGGAAGGGGGACTCCCACATAAAAGTGACAGGGATGCTTGTCGAAAAATAAAAATAACAGTGCGAGTCCTATTAAACTGGGGCCACTAAGACAAAGTTGACCAATTGGATTATAGGAAAATAACTACACATATTCCGAGAAAGTTAGTTGTCAATCAAAATTACCATGAAACGAAATAAACAACATGTATTGATATTCACCAATCACAACCTACAGACGTGACATTTTGAACCAGCTGAAGAAAGCCATCGCTTCCTGAGGTCCCTTAGAGTGACCGACGGAGGCAAAAAAAGTATAAACATTAGTTATAATTTTGACTTGAGGTCACATGTCATTTCAAAGTGAGGCAATGATAACAAAGAAATTGCTGGTAGATGACATTCAATGACAGCTTATGTCCAAAAAATAATGTCTCCTGTGTGTTATAAGTTTCGAATACAAAGACATTGTCTGGTGAAACATTTTGCTTTCTTGAAAAACTTTTGCTATCAATATTTAAATTTTGCACTTTGAGTAACTTATCGTTTTTTTGCAAGCTGCTGATTGGCCCATAACCAACTTAAATGGAATGTACTGTCATTTTCCAGTATTCTGATTGCTCAACTTTGTCTAAGTTGGCCCAGTTACAGTAGTCGTACGGTAAACCCCTAAGGGAGACCAACGTGGGTGTGGCTCAAGTTTAAACTCCCCTCAAGAAGTAGACCATACTAACCCAGACATCTAAATAAGAGTTGAAGTGTGTCGTGTCCTGCCAGGGATGTCGTGTTCTTTTTGAAATGTTAGATTTCTGTGTGGTCAGTGTCACAGCATTTTTTGGTAAATTTCTTTAAGCACCACCCTAAGTAATATCTGAATGGACAATTATAGCGATTATTGGTCAAAACACCCTAAATGACACCAAAATTTGCAATAAAACATTTAAACCCCTGAGCGAGACAACAAGCATTCCCCTCACTTGTATATGGGGGTCGACCTTACTCACTTGCTGACTGGTTTGTGGGATTTAAAAGATATTCAAAACTTGCGTCAAACTATTCTAAAAATAAAATGGTCCGTGAAAGTGCTGTGACACGAGCACATAGAAGTTGTGCACTCCAGTTTATGGGCTCCTGATTCAAACTGACTTGCACATTAGAGCACGTGAACAACCAACCAAGCCTGTTCGTAGGCTGATTAAAGGTGCCCTACAAGTACAGACCTCTAGGAAGACTGAAGGGCCCATACACAGTTTGGTGGAATATCACCAGGCCAAACTCTACAGTTACCATCCAGACATATGTAAGTTACTAGCTTCAAACCAGTAACCATTTTACACACTATTCCCTCTGTTTCTCACGAGAATTTTAAGTTACTTTAGTACAAGTGTTAGCTACATTTTTAACATTTTATGCATCTTCTGGGTTGTTTTCCTTCCACTCTGCTACATCCTTTTGAAACTTTTCACGTGCTTTGCGGCTTTCCTCAAAGTACACCTCCTTCTCTACTGAGGACAATTCGCGCCATTTGCGCCCCATTATTTTCGCTCGTTCAGCTACAGGAAGGTTTGCCACACCCTCCGCTTCGGCGTTCTTTTGGGAGAAAAGAATAAAAGCTGAAAGCGGCCTTTTAGGGTATCCTAACAGCATTTTCTTTTCTTTCTCGATTTTGTGTACCAATGCGCCTCGCTTTTTCTCGATGAAAGCGCGCTCCTCCGCTGACATTCCATGCCCGAAGTTCATCACTTGCTCCTTATACTGCTGCATTAGTATCTCCCGTTTCTCTTGCCATTGTTCTTTCTCCGAATCTGAAAGACCATTCCACTCATCGGATATAGCAGACATAATTTCTGGGGTTTTAACACCAGGATTATTGGATTCAACTTCGGAGTACTTCTCCTTCAAAAACAAACCAAACACGCCCGGGGGTTTCTTGGGGATCTTTGCCAATGGCGCGTTGTATTCTTTCATCCTTGAAGCATAAGCATTCTTGTATGGAGCCTTTTCGTCTTCAGACATTTTCCTCCACTTATCGGACAAAAGTGACATGATTTCTTTAGGTTTCTTGTCCGGGTATTCGCTCTGAGTGAGAGAGCGGTTCGCGTTCACAAACAACATGAACGAATTTGGAGGGTGCTTCGGAATCTCTACTTTAGCAGGTTTTGTCTTAAGAATGGCAAATCCATGGCTTACCAACGTGCGTGGTAAGAAAACCTGTCGAATTGACAAAGGTTCTCGTACAAAGGTGTAACAAAGACGAAAAAGGCTCATATTATTGAACACGAACACTGCACATTCATTCGAAATGCGCCTCCACGTTCAACCGCCAACACAAAGCCTTCCCGTTGTGCCTTGCGAGAAAGTCTAAGTCACACAACCTTCTCTAGTTGCGTGACGAGAAACACCAATAGTTCCATAGCACTCGAACCTTTCTGACCTGGATCGGAATATAGGGAGAAAGTAAAAGGCTCCCTCTCACTTTCGCACTTTTCTGTCCCTCCCCTTTTAAAAATTAAATAACATGCGGGTTCGATACGACGAATATATAATGATGGCCTTTTAAGCGTGACAGAACAGTACAGCCAGTACATGGTAGAACGTGGCGAGACTCAATTTTTCAGAAGAAGACGACTGTTTGTCACGCGTGCTTTTTCCAGATCATATCCAAAGAAAAGGAGCCGATCATTAATCCTTGAAGTAAATAACTAGGAGGGGTGGGGATTCTTTAGATTCATAATGAAACGAAAAATTCTGAAAATCGGCTTTGGATTCAACAATCAGTATTTGCAGTTTTCCAAAGGAACGCTGAAAACAAAGCTAAAAAAGTACAAAAGCTATGAGCCCATGAAATCCAGGGTTTTCAGAATTAAACAAAAAAAAACTTTAAACTTTAGTGCGAAAACTAAGATTTCCTTGTTACCCCAAGACAAAAGGAAGAAGTCACAAGAGGTCCGAAAATGTGTGTGCGGTAGGAAAGACAAAAGAGATGAACCAATAAAATCATATTGGGGTGTAAGGTCAATTGAAGGGCAATATTTCTAGTCAAGATGCCATCTTGAAAATTTCAAAGTTACGGATGGCAAACTGCAACTTCAAAACGTTTATTTTCTTTTTTCCTATGATTAAAAAAAAAAGATTGGTTCGTTTTACTTCTTAGAATTTACCTTTTTTTTTACTTCTGGATGTTCAAAGGTAATTTTGTGAATGATTTTAGCAGATGTTAGCCAGGATTAGTCTACAATCAACTTAGAAACAATACAATACCATCGAAAACTATTTACAACTACATCTGAAGGACTTTTCCTCTGTCGTCTTAAATCATTAAACTACAGTATACAGTACTATCACTCACAGAATAACAATTAGGTAGGCCTCATAGGAGGCAATATTTTCTTTAACATTATATACAAGAAGAGACAACCAAAAAAAAAGAACACCAGTACAAAAATAAAAACAAATTGTATAAAAAGTACTTTTTTTTCTTTTTACGAGTTTGCGCCGACTGACAGAATAGGGACTTTAAGACCCAACGACGCGACGGCGACAAGAACGTCGCTGAAAAAGTGAATTTGCGTTATTTCAGTCCTTATAGCGATTATTCCTACCCACTCACTTTGTCCATTACAGGCGAACCCTCCTGAAGCTGAATTTCAAGGGACCAAATTCAAGCTCAGAAAGAGAAATAAAATTTCTTCGTTGGTTGTTTACGTCCTCCATAAAACGCGAAATTAGGCATTTTAACGTTGTAGTCGTGCAAAAACCGGAATGAAATGTACAAAAAAGTGTGATGCACGTGCGAAGTTGTTGTTTTGCTAATTAAACCAACCGTTTTTTTGACATTCTCGTTGTCGTCCGCGTCGTTGGATCTTAAAGTCCCAAATTTTCGATTTGGAACGCCATTTTAAATGACGAAGAGCACAACAAGCCTTCACTCAGCTTTACAAACAAGTTAGTTTCCGAGGTACTTTATCTCCCAACCAAGAGGTAGTAACCAGGGTGGAAAATGAAAGATCCTAAATTGAAGAAGAAACACCTTAGTCAATAATTATTGCTGCAGACATTCTTTCTTTTTGGAGATACATACCACTACATGACAATCAAAGTAGTTATGTTTCAGAGCTTAAGCTTTAGTGTTCTTGTTTGTTTGTGAGTGATAATCACAAGTTGTATGCTCAACGCTGAAAATATAGCTTGTAACATCTTTTTTCCTTGAATATCGGTGGCTACTTTGTCCTGGCTTAAGTTCACTTCCCTTAAATCTGTCCCTGTCTAACTCTCCATCAAGCAAGGCCTGCGTCGAAAAAGTTAGGGCAAGAGCAAAAAATAGGATTGAAGGGGAAGGTGGAGGAGGAGGGAAGAAGAGGAAAAGTTTTGTCTTTTCTCCTTCCCATCCCTCTTCCTCCATTTTTGGCTCTCACTCCAAATTTCGCGCAACAACTCGATGGAAAATGCTTGCTACGCAAGCTATATCAGGTACATGCCTCTTTGAAGCAGAAGGGAAGCTGACATCCTTCTTAAGGATATCTTCCGCCGAAAAGAAAGTTTACTAAATAAGGCATAATTATGGCTGAAAAACACTTTTGCAAAGGGCTGTATGGAGAAGAACACTTCTTATTCCATTTCAGTTAATGCTGCATTCACTCATCAACATCCATTCCTTCAGCGGTTTCATCAATCTCATCTTCAGACTCTTGGGACCAATCAATTCCATCAATGTGTTCAAAATCCACAAGGTCTTGAACAGCAAGAACTAAACACAAAACAAAATTTAATTATGGTTGCAGAGGTGATGAAATCCTAGCCTATAGTCCAGGCATATTTTTTTTGGAGACAGAATACCGATCATTTCCTGTGCAAGCCCCTTATCTTTGATTTTGAAGACAGAGGAAGTATGATGATCACAGTGATAATAACTATGATGATGAGAGTAAAAAGTGTAATCAGTAGGGTGGGGCTGTCTCCTTAGCCCTGCCCTCCTTCCTGCCTCCTGTAACTTATTCCCCTGTGTACCACAACTGAAGGGAATTCTAGTTCTTGCAAACCCCAACCCCCCAGAAAGTGGCTGCACAGCAGGCTAACAATGAACTAAGGCAGAGTATTTTATTCTACAATGGTACACGTGTTATATGTACTTAAACCACTCATTAAAGAAAGGGAGAGGTCTGTGAGTGAAACATAAGAGTTCTTACGAAACGAAGACGAATGATGGCCTTTAGGGTCCTACAGTAATGAAGGGGTGCCCGGAATTATATTCCCAAGTGACTTTCAGTTAACTGCAAAATATTACCTCAACTTGCCTTGTATGCGATGGTGAATCAAAGGGGGATTTTGACATTAGACAAGGAGTCAGCAATTGTGTTATTCCGTGTACCCAATCATTTATACTCTACAGCAAGATCAGTTCCACCCTTACATCCAAAATCACTTACCCTCCGCTTCTGAAATAAGTCCTGTAATTCGCTGATACAGCCTGGTCACACTACTGATAACATTCACATACTGATGTTCCACTTCAATGCGATGCTCCACAAAAAGACGATCATTTAGACACAAGGTTGCCAGTAGGAATACACTCTGCCGAAGCAACACCAGACTTTGCCTGGAACAATATTAAACAACAGATGAGTGAATGGCATCGTTTTGGAAGATCCTAAAGTATGTTGTTAATATTATCATTAACAGTATTATTATTATTATTATTATTATTATTATTATTATTATTTTGTTATTTTAATATATAACTAATACTGCTNACTCTGCCGAAGCAACACCAGACTTTGCCTGGAACAATATTAAACAACAGATGAGTGAATGGCATCGTTTTGGAAGATCCTAAAGTATGTTGTTAATATTATCATTAACAGTATTATTATTATTATTATTATTATTATTATTATTATTATTTTGTTATTTTAATATATAACTAATACTGCTTTTCTTTATCTTGCAGTTTCCCATAGTACATTAATTTATGTTACAGGTGTATGTTCGTGCATTTATGTTTAGTGGTTCAAAATTATCCTTTGTTTGCATTTTATTAATTATTTGTTTCAAACTCCTTATAGCCTATAATAAATACTTCAGAAATGTTTCAAAATGGTCTTCTATATCCCGGTACTTTAGAAGCCTGTTTGGTCAATTTGGAGGCACCCTAAAAACTATCCCCCACGAAATGATCTGACAGACACCATTTCTTAGATAAATGCCTCTTGTCTAATAAACACCCCCCTAATCTGTTAAAGTTTGTACTAGATAACCCTGTCTTATAAACGTCCCCTGGCTAATGTTATGGTCTCCTTCATGTCTGTTGTTTGATTGACAAAAGTTTGCCCATTGCTAATTGTTTAATGCCAAGCCTCGCTTAGGCTCCCAAGATTAAATGCAGGGCATCCATGGTACGCAAATGTCAAATAGTATTAAAATACAAATTATTATACTATTGAAGAACAAAATAGAATTATAAAGAGAATGTTGTTGTTGCTACCTCATAAACATTTAAATCTCTACAGAAACTCACTCACCGGTTCTGTGAATCCTTTAACAGTGAATCATATGAAACTTGAACCACGGAACTGACCACTTTATCCAACATCAACACGAGACACTTTATCAGCTACAAAGTACAAGGAAAGAATGGAATACCTTTACCTTTTCAAACTGGCTAAAATAACTTGACTGCAGTTAAAAGAAAAGAAATATCAACTGGATACCCCTCCTAAAAAATAATGGATCCTTTCTAGCCATGTATTAGTACAGTATGTTATAAATCAAAATTAAATTGAAGTTAAATAACTAAACCTTGGGTAATTCTCTTTTTCCTTTGTCTACTAGCCCAAAACATTAAATATTTTGGGTTTAGAGAATCAACCTACGACAAAAAAGTTTTTAAGCTGAATTTAATTTTGACCTATAACATAACATAGATCCCACTACCAGGGTAAAGGTAGCCTGCCCTTTTTTAAAAGAAGTGTTTTTGAAACTTTTTTTTGCTTATATTCTCCTCTACGTTAATGACAAGGAAAAACTAAAATACAAAGGCAAGGCCCTAAAGCTTAATTTCACTGTCCAAAGGAGATGAATACCTTAACTGGGGCAAGGGCTGATCTCTTAAAAACTTCTGCCTGGTTGTTTGGGACAAATAGATTTTCTTGGTAGACGAGTAACTTTTTATGTCCACTTGCCAAATGGGACAGGGAAGGGTTCAGCTATGTTATTCTAAATCATTAACTAAGACTGACAATGCTCATCCAAAGGGCAAGCTGAAATTTAAGATTTACCATTAGGTAGATTCTCACCTCAATATTGCAGTGGCATTCACTCTCCGGATGAAAAAACAAAATCGATGCATCGTTGCTTGAAAGGAGGTTATTTACAAAGCTAACAATCTGAGGAATGAAATAAAAGCAACAAAAAAAATTGAACCACTACTGTAGGGACCTCATGAACAACATAGAGCTGGATTAAATATACCAAGTATTGTTTTACAAAATGATATCATGATTGTTGTGTCTCATTTTATCTATTTGGTACCTGTAAATGAACTTGTTGATAATCATGGACAGAAACATCGTCTGGTCTAAACAGCCAGCCCTGGTAGATCTTCAGTAAAATGCATTCACCTTTTGACAATGAAACCTCTTAAGTTAGCATGCAATTAAAAACAAGGACTAAAGATATAAAGGGGTAAAGGAACAGCATATCTTGAACATAAGCATAAGCATTGCATGGTCCTCACTAGCGATACAAGCATAAGCATAAGTTGGAGCATAAGGAGCTTATGCACTAGTGTGGATCATTGGCCTTTACATAAGCATATGCATGGACCCAATAATTTTTTTTTTATATCAAAACCTTGCGTTCTTCTTATGTTTAGCTTATGCTTATGCTTATGCTTATGTGACAACCATGCCAACAAGTACATAACCTTCTTATAATGCTCATATTTATATTTAAATTGTATGCTTGCATCATGCTTACTCTTCTGATATGCTTGTGCTTGTGCTAGCATAGCTAGTGACGAGCAAGCTTTTGAACACTTTTGGCAAAGTGCTAGCCTGCGTAACAGATGTTATTGTTTCCATTTTTTGGGTGAGCAAAAGCAAGCACGAAGCAAGTGAGGAACACCAGACACACGCAATGGGGAAAGGTGCAGAAAAAATAACACCTGTCTACACCACTGTTTGTTCCATTGTTCCATTCCGCCCCTAACAAACCCCTTACTGATGAATCAATCATGGCATTTGAATGATTTATAATAATTTCAGGACTGTCACTAAGAGGTGGGGGCTGGGGATTTTCCCTGGCTACTTTCAAAGGAAAACGGAAGAAAAACAGAAAGAAAAGAAATCCCTAGCTGTTTGATTCCCTGCCTACTTTTTGTATTTATTTTGCCTGGCAACTAGAAATCTTAGTGACAACCCTGAATTTACTTTTCACATACAGTCAAATTGCCGGCAGTGCCGATAATTTAAATCAAGATTATTATAATATTATAAAGCATTTACCTGATTGAGAACACAGCCTTTTTACTATGCCTTGGTGTCGTATTAGAGGGGTAAGGACTGATGTGACCAATGACAGTGATGTTAAGCACCAGTCCCTGGACAGACACTGAGAAAGCAGACTCTCAGACAGTAACGGCAACATTCTAATTGGAGGAAAATTAAAAGATAACATGAGGATAGAAAAATTTTCTATATACGCTACGCCATGTAACAACAACAATAATAATACTACTAATAATAATAAATATAAATATAATGCTGGTCAAATCCCAGATCCTAAAAATACCTGTCCAGACCCTGGCCATTACTGCAATCATGAGTGTAGTAGACCAAAAATTTTACTAGAATCACAAAAGTAAATTATCCCGTAACATGCAGTAATAATTACTAACAAACAAACCTTGTACAATACTTTACTTCACAATTTCTTGACAGAGATATTAAAACTTGCAGTGTAGCATAAGTAACAACCATAGATTCTTTCTAGAAAAAATCAAAACAAGAAGTCACTCTTACAAAAACATCTCTCTCTGAGAAGATTACCCAAGAATTCATGACCCGAGAATCAGAATTTTTATTGAAGGAGGGGAAGGGTACATACTGTGCTTCATTATGAAAATCATGTAACTGCCATGTCCAATAAGCTCAAAGAATAATATTGTTATATTAATTTGTCACATTAATTTACAATGAGCTGTGTTCTTATGCGAACAAATTATCTTCAGCCTGGCCTTCTTTATCATGCTGCATTGAAATTTAACTTTCTTCATATAATCATGTCATGTTTAATGAAATGGTGAGCAGCAAATATTCTATAATATTGAAACAACAGAATAACTACCTGTCCAGGTTATTTGAAGGTAGAGCTGAATGAAATTGTTTTCATGCACAACAGAAGACCACGACTAGGTAAGATTAGAGGGTATATTGGAATATTACTTCATACCCATTACTCAAACCGATAAATAGCCTGTGCCACAGACGGAACTAAACTTCTGGTTAAGTCCTTCTGTGAAACAGGGCTGAAATTCTTGTTCTGGGTCCCCACCTGTGTACCGGGATTGGACTGTTAAAAATGTTATTGTCGATTTGCCAATCAGGTTGAAGGGAAACTCAAAATGCATTTCCAGTAATTCAATGAGACTGTCTATTTGGGGCCCAGAACAAGGATATCAGCGCTGCTTCGTAGACATTACTAACCCATAAATAAAACCAAAGGCAATCACAACTACGCAGAGGCTTAGTGACTGAACCAAACAACAAACAAAAATATGTTTATGGTAGTTACAACTCACTGGTTGAGGTACCAACAGTTTGAAAAGGTAGCCCAGCAGTTCTGTACGTTCAACAACATTTTCTCCTCTACTTGTATTGACATCTAAAGGCAAAGATCAAAAGCTATTATCTCAACATCAATTATTGTAAATTAATTTTTCTAGAGGAGGAGGATGAGTCAAACTCCTTCACACAATTAAAATGGTTGCTCATTTAAAAAATCATTTAAATCAGAGTGTTTGGGTCTAGAATAAGGTATCATTTTTTAGGAAACTGATCAGTAGTTGGTTGAAGATTTTATCTAGACTAGGGATTGTGGTATAAGGTTTTGTTTTGGCTAGACTGTGCTAGTGACCTCAGTAGTTTCTGGAAAACAGCTACTCTAGGATAGGGGGGATTTGGGGAGTTTACTCTAGTATAGGGTAGCAAAATTCTGCTGAACTAGCTCTGGTATAGGTTAAGGGTTCCAGGGTCCTAGCGGCACATCCCCACCCAGAAATTCCTAAAGTACCTTCCCCCCCGGGGGGGAAACAACTAGACTGGAGACAGTAAACAAGCCAGATTCTCTCGTCACACAGTACATGTATTTGAATTTGTTTAATAGCTGAATTTGCTTTCTACAACAAGTCTTCACCTGTTTTGTATACACTAACACCTGGATAAGTCACAATCCAGTAGATGGGTATTAGGGAAACACTATCCACTGAATAAATCCAACTTTATCAAACTTTTGAACAACCTGCTGTTTAATTCCTGACTCTATCAGCCATACCTTTCTCTGTAGTTACTTCCATTTGCCTGTTGGGATCCTTGGAAATAACAAGATATTATAAGACAGTATAGATAAATGGCACAGCTTTATAACTAGAACACAAGCAAACAAAAAAACACACAAACTGTATATTCCAGAATAGCTTTGACAGCAACTTTGATTTTACCTTTTTGATGGCAATTTTGAGACTTGAAAACAATGGGTGCTGACAAAAGCTTCCTTCTCCTTCTTCACTGGAGAATATCTCCATTTACACAAAAGAAAAAAAAGAAAATTACAAATCTGCAATTTAGTAGCCACAGGATGCTTACTGCTATTTAAAAAGAGTACAGGAAAAAAAACCCTGGTAGCCTGCAAGCATTAATTCACCACCCTAAAATTTTGAGGGTTGAAGTTTATGCAAGAGTGCAGTATGAAGATTAGGGCAGGGGAAAGATGGCACCTCAATAATAGTGTGACCTTCACCCTCCCACAACTCCCAGAATTAATGGAGAGCTTGCTTTTAGGCAAAGACCCTGGTCGTGTCTGGTCTTCCTCCGATATCACTTCACTTCACATGTCAAGGGTGCTGACAGTGGTCAACAGTCAGATCAAAAGTAGACTTCAAGCAGGGTTCTCCGGAAAACTGAATTACAAGGAGAAAAACATGAAGTAGGTGGCAATCAATATTATAAGATCAAACTGCCGGTCATTCATGTGGAAGAATCATCTGTAGGGGTTAGTAATGGGAAGCAGGTTACCCCTTTCATTTCATCTGAGGTTTATAAAAAGTGCATTTTGGTGTATTTTTAGCAACCAGGTATTAATTCTAGCCATGAAGATAACACCTTTTCTTTACCCACATTTGTATCAACCAAACAAAAGTGTTGGGAACCAAAATTAAGTGAAATACGATGGATTTGTTGTCCCACTTAAAAAATATTACTTTTCTGTCAGTAGTCAACACCTCTGTGTCAACTAGATGTTGATTTTAGCTGGTTGCTTGAAAGTCACAGCCATCTAAAAATCTGCTACAATCCAATCTCAGTAAGAATATAACGGTTGTTTTAGGACTCATCCAAAACTTTCCCCTACTTCACCGTAGATCTATAAGACAGAAGAAAATGATTTTAAAATGATGAGTGGTAGATACTTTGTTAACAATACTTGCACAATGCTTACCTTTTGTTTTTCGACTTCTCTGTCCACCCTGTTGTCATTTTCATGATCACTCTCAATTTCACTAAACACTCTTGCAGATTTCAAAACAAATTCATGAACTTCACTGCTGTACAGTACAATAATATTTAGTAGTCTCAGGGAAATAAGAGCAATTTCCTGCAAGAAAGCAAGATTTCTTGTGTGATCACTTTCAAAACTGGCGCTGTCCCTTGGATCTGGGGAATCAGGTGTTGGGGAACTTCTTGGCAAACATGTGCCCAAAAAGTTTTCATCACCACTGTCTGTCCTCTGTTCCACATAATTTGCAATATGGCTCTCTATTAAAGGAAGAAAATTGGTGGCTGGAGATAACATGCAATGCTTAGACCATGACGGCAAAGTCATGTTTTCACTGCCTCGCTGTGTGTGACAGTGATTTAAAAGCACAGATAAAGTTTGCAGCACTAAGGAGTTATCCTGGCTGTCAGATAGGGAGTCCTTTTGAGTTAAATCAGCAACAGATCTCTGCAGTTTGGAGGTTGCTTGAGTGTCCAAAAGACGCAGGGTGTGTGAAGTATCTGTGTCATTAAGTGTTGTTCTCTGGGTTACACTGCAAGAGCTTGAAGAGGACCGGTCAAGAGTCAAAAGTGAAATTATGCTACCATAATTTAATGTTCTGTTATAAGGTTCTTGGAAAGGAATGTTAAGTTCTTTCTCTTGTGGTGATATCAAATTTTGGACAAGTTCAACATCTTGAAAATTGTGAGAGAAAAGTTGGACAGCTTGCCTTTCCCTGACTTCGGCTTCTCTGCGTTGAGCTCTTGTTCTCTCAATAGTTGAAGCTCCGCTTGACGTTGCACTTTGTACCGAACTCTCAGAATTGTCTCCCTCTGAGAGTCTTTGTGAGTTGTTTTTACCAGGAGTTTCCATATTCTTCACATTCAGTTTAGTAGCCCTAGGTGATTTCACCTTTGCCTCAGGAGACTTTTTTTGGAAGAAAGAGCTTCCCGTTGGGAAAACCTCACTTAAGTTCACAGGTTTCTTTTGTGGAGTACTGCACAACTCTGTTGAAGAACTTGATCTTTTCTTGTTTCTTTCGACTAGTTGAGAGATTTCCCGATCTTTAAACTGAATTTGTGTGGTTAAGTTTTCAACTTGTTTTTGTAATTCTTTCTCTTGTTGGCTTTGTTCCCTAGCTTGTTTTTCTGCGATGGCCTTAACCTCTGCTTGTCTCTTCTTCTCCTCATTTTCAAAGTGGCTGAGAGAATCCTTTAATATCCTGATCTCCCCATCTTTACAGAACTTTTCGTCTTCAAGTCTTTTGACTTTGGCATTTGAAGACATGAACTCCGTTTTTAATTTTTCAATTTCCTTTCTTAATGAATTCATTTGTTCATCTTTGGAGTGATCATGGAAGTTATTATCAAAGTTATTGGCAACGGAAGCCTTTCCCTCAGTAGTAACAAAATCTGTATCACTTTTAGGCAGAAAGTTGCTTGGGCCACAAGGGTGTTCCACAAAGGTTTCTAATAATGAATCACCTTTCACCACTGTTTTGACACAATTTGCAGTCTCCTCTAGATTTGTGACTACTGGTGCTCGTAGGATCCTGGAACCGTTTACTGGGATTCTAGGTAGATCAGTAAAGTTTGTATGGGCTTTTGTGGGTGTGGAATAAGTGGCATAGTCTTGAGTGCAATGAGAAGCAAGCAACTCGTCTTCATCAGAAGATCCCTGTCCACGGTCTAGATGTGAGGCAGAGGGAACAAAGTTCCTTGACGCATTACGATGCTCGTCTTTCTGCGGTAAATTGGCGATAAAATCGACATTATGGTCTGTCCGCTGCGTCTCTAGCTCTCGTGAAACCATTCTATCACACTGGTCAAGCTGTTCGGCTGTCAACAACTCATCATCAAAATCATCAACGATCTCCTCATCAAAAGCATCTGATGGTAGATCACGGCACGCATCTTCTGTAGCAATCTCCTCTAGTCTTTTTGTCGGCAAGCCATTCGAGTTTTTGAACCTTTTATACGGAGATTCATGCTTAATGTTAGGCACCCGAGATCGAAGTTGGGCGCCACTTTCTTGCGCTAGGTGACGAGAAACAGATGGATTATAGATGAAATTGCGCCTCTTTTGGTTCCCCAAAAGGCTACCGTTGCCAAAGTTTGCCATCATAAAGAAGACATGAATATCACGTTAACCAACTGACCATGAAAAAATAGTCTTTCAGACGATGTTTCTTGAAACTTGACTTTTACCGCGAAGACCGCGAACTTTTTTGGAGTTCTGGGGAGTTCTGGGTAAATTTCTTCTCAACTCCGCTGACCTTTAGCTAGCTCGTCCGTTGTTCTCAATAGAGTACTAAAGTGTGACGTCATAAAAATGAAATTTCTGAAATTATGGGATTTGTCAGGATATTCTGAAAGAACAATGCCCAAGAGGCCTATTTGCCAAAAATGAGCATTTCTGGGCAAATTGTCCCTGAGATCGTAGCCCAGTTATGCTTAGAAAACTCCATACAAACCCTTCTAAATTTTTTTTGGGTCGACCCCAAAAAAAATTAGAAGGATTTGTATGGAGTTTTCTGAGTTTAACCGGCTAACATCTCAGAGACAATTTGCCCCGAAATGCTCATTTTTGGTAAGTAGGCCTCTTGGACATTGTTCTTTCAGAATATCCTGACAAATCCCATAATTTCAGAAATTTCGGTTTTATGACGTCATCACTTTAGTACTCTATGGGTAAGGGGTAAGGGTCTGACCAAAGCTGGCAACCAAACGTTGGATCAGTATGTCTTAAAAATATTTCACCCGAAGCGCAAAAGATTCGAAGGGTTATTATTGGCTGTGCTTTCGCTTGTCGCAAGGAATCGAAGGAAGCCGGCGTGACTCTCAGAGCTAAAAACAAAAACCGACTAGTCCAAAGACTTCTGCAAAGCTGATTATAACGACTTGTATTGCTTAGTTCTTGGGCGAAGCGCCAAGTAAAGGATTCACGACGCTCTGGAATGTCCCAAAGTTGCTTTTTTGGGGACCGGATTGGGCACGCAAAGTTCGTAAGTTTGCGGTATGAATTGCTTCGAGATATCTCGAAGATCACTTCGAGTTCTTTCGGCTACAATAACAGGAGCCGATTACTTGGTCCAAGTAATGGCTAAGTAATCGGCTCCTGACAATAAATAATTAATTTAATCGAGGATTAGCCGATTACTCCACCGCGACCTAATGTGATTATTTAGGTGAAAATTAGTTGTTGTTGTTGTTTCGAACTGTCTCACAAAGACGTTGTCTTGTTGAGTTTACCTATTTTTATCCCAACATCAAACATTATAACAAAATTATACGAAATTATGGCGAAGCATTTTCAACATTTTGAGACAACACAGGGATACTTTTCAGTTTGGACGAAGGCTGTTGTTTTCAGTTTTTTACCTACAATCGGCGACAAAATGAGTTGAGACACTTCGCCCAAAACTGGGCTTTTATACGTTTTATTAACATCAAAAGGAGGAAATATTGCTTTCCTCCCCCATCCCCTCCGTGCAATGTTGTGCCCTTGTTCTAGCTACCTATAGAGAACAACAAACACCCCAACTTTGAATGGAGGGGACAGGGGAGGGGTGCGGATTCTTTTGTTCTCCGAAGTTACCCTAGTTAAGTACAATGTCTCAACAATTTTGACGCCGATTGTCTGAATCTCAAAAGTGGCCGTACGTCCTTAAGAAAGTTAATAGAATTTACTTCTTTATGCTGTGATGTAAGACGCCCGGTGGCTTTTTATTTGTTGTGTTCGACTTCATCATACCTATTTTAGAACAATTAGAATAAGGCGATTTCGTTATTTTCAGTGCGTGAAATTTCCTGTCACGCTTAACCGTGCCTTGACATCGTGCGATCAGGCGCGTCGCGCACGATTTCCTATTCTCTCGTTTATCGAAGCGCATCGAAACAAAGAAAAAAGTGAAAAGGACAGAAAACTTAATAGATTTCTAGGCATTAAATTAGTTATAATGGCTAAAATTGCTCCTTAGGAGGAATTTCCACGAGTAACCACGAGTAACCACGATGAGTATAAAATATAATAATCTGATTATCTTTTAAGAACAAAGTTGGTTACTCGTGGTTACTCGTGCCCAGTCTCCTCCTGACCTCATAGTTTCTACTGTAAAGTACATTCTTCAAAGACCCTTATGGGTATATGGGCAACGAATCTGCTACACAGATTTAGCGATGCTATGCCGCTTTGCTGTGCGTTAGAAGTTGGAACATTTTTCCTGAAAATTCTCCAGCGCATAGCATTCGTGGCTATTTTATCGTCCATCACACCCTTATCAAATAGCCAAACTTCGAATAAACACTTTGAACTTACTAGGGATATATTCAAATACAATATATTATCTGCCATCGATTCCTACCGATCACACTTAGTTACCAGAGGAAAATCAACCATTCGGTACGTGGATATGCTGCGTAATTACTTGAAAACACTACCGAGTACAAAGATTGTCAAAACTAATTTTCCCTCGAAAAACACAGGAAAGAGATTATATGGGTATTTTATCTATCTTCTGAAAAACGACCCGGTGAATATAGTAATCTCAACTAGTTACCGTCTCCTAAACGATGCTAATAAGACAACAGCACGTAGATTTCGATTCAAACAATCGGCGACAAAATGAGTTGAGACACTTCGCCCAAAACTGGGCTCTTTTACGTTTTATTAACTTCAAAAGGAGGAAATATTGCTTTCCTCCCCCATCCCCTCCGTGCAATGTTGTGCCCTTGTTCTAGCTACCTATAGAAAACAACAAACACCCAAACTTTGAATGGAGGGGACAGGGGAGGGGTGCGGATTCTTTTGTTCTCCGAAGTTACCCTAGTTAAGTACAATGTCTCAACAATTTTGTCGCCGGATGTAGAAACGGAGCGATTTCTTCAGATAACTGGAGATAAATCTCTCAAAAGTGACTGGAATTGATGGGTTTGGCTACAGACAAGTGTTTGAGCAATTTTGTCCACTCTTCCTCAGATGTCGAGAGCCAAAGGAGATGTCAGCACTTGTCAAATGCTTTTGGGGCATGGGTACGCTTGGAATTTACTGAGCCATTATGATGACGATGTCTGGCGATGCAACCATCTCTTACAACAATGAAAACCGTAACAGCCTGCGAGCGAGCTCTTCATTTAAGAGATATCGAGAGAAGTCAAGCGAGAGTGGCATGCGAAAAGAGACGCGGGAGCAAGGTGTGGCAATAGAAAGTGAGACCTCACTCACGCGTTCGCTTGCCACTCCAAATAGAGAGGCGGCTACAGTACATTTCTTGGTAGTCGTGCGTGTTCGCTATTCGGTGAGCCAGTTTACGTTAGGAAATCCTAGGAAAAATCCGAGCTATTTTCATACAAAGCAACGTCCACTATGGCTCCACGTCCCCTTTTTCACCCATTTCAACCAACCCTTGATTAACAACATTGCGGCACTCACACGTGCCCGACATAAAAAATCCTCACATAAGCTTGGTACAACGACGCCTAAGTGTACGTTCCGATAGCGTCTTGTTTATAACAATATTTTGGCTGGCCATACCAGCCTTCTTCAGGTTTACAGATGTTACTGAATTTATGATACGAATTACAATATTATATGGAGAGAAAATTTCGCAATAAAAATTGTTTAAAAGGGAGAGGCGGAAATGACGTACAACCCAAAAAAGAAAAGAAAAACTAATAAGGATATAGATTACAATAATTCGTCACAGTTGTGAGATCCGGGGGGGCAACCTCGTCCCCAGGGCCTTTCCCTTAAAAACCACCCATTTTTTAAGGGAAAAGCCCTGGGGACGAGGTTGGGTACACCCCCACCAAGAATTCCCGCCCCACCCATTTTTTAAGGGAAAGGCCCTGGGGACTAGGCTGGGGGTGTACCGTCTGGTGATGGCTGGTTCTCCAAATCCTAACTCTATTTCAGACCAAAAAATGTCATTTTGCACAACAGTTTTCAGACCTGGCCCCATGTTTCCATAGGTAGAAATTATGTCATCATTACAGTCAAACGCCTTTAAAACGGACATTTTCGCATATTACTTTATCTTTCCCACTCATTTGGGACAAAGGAGAATGAGCTCTCTCTTGTTTGGGAATGAAAGGACAAATACGTTCACGTAGTTCCCTCAAAAACCATCCCCAATTCCAGACCAAAATGGGCAAAGTCGACTATACCTGTTTTTAGACCGGCGCAAAAACCATGCGCTTACCTATGAAGAGAGGATACCTCTCTTGCCTATATGGCTTAAATAAAGGAGTAGTACCTCACCCCCTGGGCAAAAAAACAACGGATCAGTACATTTTTGAGACACGGAAACGCTATGCTGCAGTATAATAAGTGATGGGTTTGCAATGTCTAGAGCCGTGAACTTTGCCAATAGCTTGGTTGTTGCACTATCTTTTTAAACAGTCAGGTAACATTTTTTTCTATTGCGCAAAAAATTGAGAAGTTGAGAAGGAAATCATTTTGGGCGGAGAAATACAACAAATATATTGTTAAATAATCAAATAAGTGTATCACACATATTTCCCCTTGCAAGGTCGCAAGGGAGTACAGAAATTTTGAGTTAAAGGAAATCGGCAACAACAGGGCTATTCACAGTTATTTCCGAAAAACACATTGCCCTGCTTCAGCCGTTCTCGAGCTCTCTTCCCTTCTTTGGTTTAGCCGAGATTTGAGCAAATTGAGGGGGCGGCTTATATCTTGACCTTGACTATTTCGTAACGACCTACCATGATCGCAGCACTGTTTTTGGAACTCAAGAAAACGTTCAGAAATGTAATATGCGATCTTCCGACCAGCAATGTAGCATAAACAAGTCTAAACGTCTGCAAAATTAGCGAACTTTAGATCCTCAAGGATATTCATCGAATATTTATTAATCTGTGTTAATGAATACTGGGATCGATTTCCTGTGATTCGCATTACCGTTTGATACAAATGTCTACTAGGTATTTATTGACATTTTTGTTATTGGCCGATGAAAATTACTTGGTGTGTGGATTGTTGCAAAAGGGACACTAAAAGGAAAGGACAGACTAAATGACTTCTTGTGCGACCAACAATTTGAAAGGATGGTTGGCTAATGCCCCGGGCCCTCTGGGGCTAATGCACAAAAACGTTTTCAAGAAACTGCTGTAAAAGACTTCACCTCAAAAAATTAGACCCGTTACAAAACTTTCCTTTACTATAGAGGTAGTAATACCACCCTCGAAAGCTTTCAGCCGAAGCCAGCAAAAAAGACGTACAGACCTGCCAATCGTTGAAGCGCAAGGCCGTCTAATCTATTTTCATGAATAATTAAATTTTCTAAGAATTCGACTTCTCGGAAGTTCTGATCTTAACGTAACACCAGCAAGGTCAAAGAGTCTACGTCTTGTCTGGCCGAGTGCTGCATTCACGCAAAGTTGAAAATGCCCGCCATAACTGACTTGTATTAAATCCGTATACTGAGCTACACCATGAATGTATATCAGTTATGTCAACGTTAGAAGCCATTATTGAGGAGTCAAACTCAAACTCATCAACCTCGATGTGATGACTTGCTGAAAATTCTTTCATCGTTGTTTTTTAAGCGTGTATGACGAAGCATCAACATTTACAACACTGTTATCACATAAATTAAAGATCATCATCATGGAGAAAACAGAAAGTGATTATTTATAGCTATCATTAAAAATTGTAAGTTTCTGCTTTAGTTTAACATATCACAAATGTCCAGCTTCTCGGCCATAGAAAGGCTGGCGGAGTTCAGCTATTAATGGAACATACACCAAGTACGCGATAGTGAAGCACAAAAACAGTGCTGATCCCAGTATTCCAACGAAACAGGCAACTATCTTTTCACAGGAAGCATCTCCTTCTCCCTCTCCACATCCACATAGCTTCGTAACGAAGCAAATCAACAGCTTTAAGTGGCCAAACACACTGCAGATCGCCGAAGTTACTGGCTGCCAGATGGGTGGTGTTACAATTGTTTCCGACATAACTATCGAGAACAATATGCCACTTTCAACATCATCCTTGAGGAATAATTCCAAAAGTGAGATCACTAACTCGGCGGAAACAAAACGGCGGTTACACGTCTTGTCACAGCTACCCCCTGGAGAGTCGCATTCCTCACAAATACAGGACAGGTGAAATATAATGTAGTAGAGGTAAACCAAAATGATAGCGATACTGCAGAAAAAGCCGATCAGAAAACTCAACATAAAAAAGCCCTTGATTGAAGCTCCGGCGAATGTACCATCGTTGTATATCAAAGACAAGGTATTGCAATCGAAGTAGATGTCATAAGAGTGATATAGGATCAAAATCACGTAATATATAATTTTCGCGAAACAGCAGAACATGTACATGATCAAACTCGATGCTGAATGCAGACTAGGAAGATGTGAAACTTCTTTACTTTCGCTTTCGCTCGATTAATTGCGCTTTCATTTTTGGATGATTGGCATTCTAAGAGGGTCTGGATGGCTGGCGGTACAAATGTCGGTTGTCAGTGAAAATTTGAGCTATAAAAGCGTTCAAAAAGGGGGTACTTTACCATGGGGAAGATTGTAATAGAGGCCCAAAAAATGACCCTCCAATACTCGAGCCCGCGTTTTTATTGGTCAATAGGTGACCTTACATGACGTACTTGCTGGCTTGTTTGCCGCTCGCTTCGTCTCGCTTGTCAGTTGTCAACCGTCGTGTTGTTGGTGTTGTTGTACCATGCCAAAACGTTCTCCGGCAAAGAGAGATTTTAGAGATAACGGGGAGAGAAAAATAAAAAAGAGCAAAGAAGGTGCTTCTTCATCAACGAGCAAAGTGGATGAAGATTTGGTAAGATCTTTCTGTTTGTTTTCTGTTATGGCACCCCTTTTCACCTTTTCACGTATTTGGGGTAAGCTCATATGATTTCTAGTTCAACTTTTTAGTACTTCCTCAGATTTTCTGGAATGAAAAAAGCGTTTAATTCACGAGGAAGCTAACATATTTATTATACTACTGAGGGCAAGCTGCTCTTACTGAGGGCAAGCTACCACGACATATGACATGAAGAGCTTTGTTTTTGTACTAGCATGATTTGTAATGATATTTGGCATAAATACCACGAGTGATAGTTCGAAATTGTTATACGTAATTTCAAATTTGAGACAATTTTGAAATATCACGAGTGGTATTTATGCCAAATATCACGTACAAATCATGCTATTATTTGTTTATACTACTATCTGTAAAAGGTTTGTAATTT